GGTAGGGGAAACCGACGTGCATCAGAGCAACCCCACGGTCCTCCATGAATCGAGAAGGGGCTTTAAAGAAAAACCTCTGGAGGTCCAATCTTGCAGCAAAGAGGGCCAATCTGGAACTGAAGAGGAAGACAACTGTAGCCAAAAGACAGGCCAGACTCAAAGTTATGCTATCAGCTCAACTAGCTAGAAAGAAGCATAGAGAAGCAATGCTGATCAAAGGAAAGGGAACAAAGAAAATGTCCAATTAGAGATGAAGCATTGTGGCTGTTTTTCTGTCTGTTAAGCAGGGTTTGTTTGTTGTTTTGTTTGTTTGTTTTATTTTTTAAATGTGAAATCCTTTGCCGGAGAGCATTCTCATGGTGCTTTTTATTATTATTTTTTGTCAAATAATAAAACTATCATGCAGACTCACCTTGAAAAATCACTTTTGATTACTTTACTCTGCTAAAGCTTAAAGGGGGCGTTGGCAATTTAATTCCCACCGGGGCGCTGCGCGGACCGCGGCGGGTGCTTAGGTAACCCCTGCATCCCTGGCTACTTTTCAGATTTTTTTTTCAGAGGGGAATATCATGCCTGCATATACCTCCCCTCACATTAGCAAGTGGGAGGTTGAAAAAAATCTCATTTGTTTTGATTGCAATTTTTTTTTGCTTATTTTTAAATTTAACCTTTTAGATATTTAAATAGATAGCCGGTGCTGTCATGGGGGTCATCATTTCAGAGATATTTCTTTATCAGTGCTTTTAATAGTGCTTTTTCCTCAGTGCTTTTAATAGTGGCACAGCTTTTTAGTTGGGATACATTCAAAGATGGGTCAGCCTTGAAAGTAGCCCACGTTGAACTGTATAGCATAGCCAAACACCAGCACAGGAAATGATTTATGACATTTTGTATCATGTCATAAACTGCTTTATGAAAATGTTTCTGTCATAAAGTGTTTTATAAACTTTGCCAAATTTCAATTCCAAGGGAGTCATGGGACCCAGATTTTGGATGTATTCAGTATGTTAGGCCATTGCCCCCCAATCTTTTGGACACCAGGGACCAGTTCTGTGGAGAGAGGTTTTTTCCGTGGACCACAGAGAGCGTGGTCTCGCATTCTGCCTGCATCCTGTGGATGAGGCTTCGCTTGTTTGCACGGACTGGGGATTGGGGACCTCTGTGTTAACCCATTTAAGGTAACTTGGTTCAAAAGGTTTTGCCTATGATGTAGTATTCCGCCCAATTAAAAGTTACAGGATTCAGAATTTTAGTAATATATAGAAGATAACCTTTGGAGAATTAAGAACTAAGTCTGTTGCTTCAGATGTAAGCTACTGAATTTTAGTAAGTGGTTAATTAACCTCTTCAACCAGAAATGGTAATCCAGAATTGGTGAAAACTCAATCTGTCTGACTTCTCTACTACTCCCACCTGTTGTCCGCTATCAATGTTCTGCTCTCATAGAGTTAGATTAGGTTAAGAAATGGTGGGGTGAGATGGATTAACATGCCTTTCCAGAGAGTGGTTTCCAGTTACCAAGGAGAGTTCAGCAGTGACCCATGAATTTATCTTTGTGATTCTCAGCATTCCCCTTTCCGCTTCCCTTTTACAGATTTTTATTGGAGAGATATCTATGTATTTCATCAAGTCCACCAGAGAAAGCTTAATTATCCAAGAGAAAACCATTTTGACAGGGGAATGCTGTTACCTGAATCCACTGCTTCGGCGAATCATCCGATTTATAGGTAAGCATAATTAACAGATTTGCAGAATAAAATAAGCCGAACAATTTCATATGTTTTTATGCACAAACCTTCCATGTAAGGATTCCCCAGGAGAGAGAGAGAAAGAGAAAGAGAAAGAGAAAGAGAGAGAATTTACTAGCTCTAAGGTTTTGAAAGTCTCTTTGTTTAGACAGGAAAACTTTTTTTGGGCATTTTTCAGGCACAATATTTAACACCTAACAAATCACTTTTCATAAAGCTTAGTGATATAGAAGGCCTTGTACAGTTTGATTGATAGCCAGAGACAGATTCTCTCAAAGGGCCTGTGACAAAAGAAGGGCAAAACTATTTTCTTCATTTTCCTTTCAGAACTAAGAAATAAATTGCATTATGAAAGGCCAACTACTAACCTGCCATTCTGATGACTTTTGGCTAGCAACCATCACTTTTATTTCCCATTAGTTTCCCGTAGCAGTCATGATTTTCAGTGGCTTTTGAAGTAGAATTCCCAGCTAGAGGCAGCCTCTAAAAACATATTACAAAAATGAAATAGTGGTTTTCTTCCAGAAATTGAATGAAGAGATAAAATACAGGTAGTCCTTGATTTATGACCACAGTTGAGCTCAACATTTCTGTTGCTAATTTGTTAAGTGAATATTGCCCCATTTTATGACTTTTCTTACCACAGTTGTTAAGTGAATCACTGCAGTTGCTAAGTTGGTCCCATTGTTGTTAAGTGGATCTAGTTTCCCCATTGGCTTGGCTTGTCAGAAGGCTGCAAAAGGTGACCCTGGGACACTGCTACATCATGAATATGAGTCAAGGGCCAAGTGTGTGAATTTTGATCACGTGACCATGGGGACGACTGCAACAGTTGTGTGAAAAACAACCATAAATCACTTTTTTGTGACTTCCAGTGAAAAACATATTCTAATTCAGCTGAAGTCCTACTTCTGTGAAAGAATTGGGAGAAATTTGGATCTAGGCAGCAATCAAGTTCTTTTGCTATTTCAATAGAACTCTGACTCCTGTCAATCCATTATGATTATTCCCTGTGTTCTCATGAGCAAAACTAAATAATTACATACTTTCTTTTCTGGCTGAACTATGTCCAAAGAATCAGGCTTAGCACATTTCACGCATTCTGTGCTTCACATGCGCTATCTAAATCATATTAGCAGCCTAGTTAGTGTTATCCCCATCTTGCATCTTACAAACTGAGTTGTAGAATTAGTGTCTTATTAGTGGCTTCCTTGTGTGTATCCATTTTAAATGAAAATAGAACTTAAGATTTCCTGCCTCACAGTGTAGCTTGCTTCTTTTCCGAATAAAGTAATAGAAACGAAAGACATCACTTGCAAATTTTTTTTTTAAAAAGTCCATGTATTAATGATTTGAAAATATCTATTTTAAACAATCTCTATTGCATTGATAAGAGGAAAAGAGGCCATTAGAAAATCTAGGAAGTGCTTTCACTGTGCTGCTGAAATCCAAACTAATCAGGACTTCTACTGTGCATGTTTATTAAATGTTAAATGTTTATTATTAGCTAGTATGCTTTTCAGCAGCTTCTGCTTTCAATTAGTCTACATCCCAAGTATTTTCTCTTTCTGTCTGCCTTCTTTAATTTCTTGTAGTTGGAGGATTAGATAGGCGGAGCCAAATTTGAAAGTTGCTTCAGTTTAGATAGCTTTCATCTATATATAAGCTTCTGAAATATGTAGCTCCTTAGATAGAAAACATTTTCTTAATGTGGATCATTATTTAGGGGCAGAATCCCCCGATAATGGAGATTTAAAAATAAAGCACCTGATGTGATTAAAGAAGATGGATTATTGCTCATATGAGGTGTGTTCATTATTATTCTTAATATGAGAATACAAAACAAAATTTGAAGAGGCTCAGGTCAGTGATCATGAATTGTGAAGCATAGTTGCACCTGCTTAGAAGTTGGATGGGAAACCACAGGGGCTATCAGAAGAAATAAAAAAGAAACCATTTCCATTTTGTTGCCAAAGAAGCTTGACACCATGGACATATTCCTGTACTGTTAGAATAATAAATAAATTAGCACTGAGCTGGAAAACCTCTAGGCCTCCAAATATTGTTGAATGCCAGTTCTTATCAGTAGCAGCTAGCATGACCTCTAGTGAGGAAGTAAACTACTTATAGCCCTGTTGGGTCATCTTTTCAGAGATATTTCTTTACCTAAACAGAACATGGATTGGCAAAAAAAAAAACCAGGCGGAATGGAAGCTTCTGACTTGCCTCTTGACAATGCTTATGGGAAGCTGTGGAGAAGTATCAGAAATCACTCCTCCTTCTCCTTGGCTGACCTGAGGAACTGTCTGTTATTTTGCTGGGGGGTGAGGGAGAAGAACAAGGGGAGTCACAGACCACGAGGAAAGCTGCACCCCTGCTCCCCATCCTGGTATATCCCCAAGAGCCCCTCCTTCCAGGGAAGAACACCCCCATTGACTGCCAGCATCCCCCATCCAGCCTTATCTCACCAGCAGGCATCCAAGTCATCCTTTATCCTTCCCTTGCCACCCACTGCTGTTAAAAAGAGATTTAGATTTCAGCCTTCATCAAATCCCTGCTCATTTGCAGGTCTTGCCACCAGCTGATTGGATGCAGCAGGGGCAGTGGGAGTGATTTCTGACTTCCTGCTGGCTTCCCCATTGACTTTGCTTCAAAGAAGCTGTCAGAAATCATTCTTCCTCCTCAGATTACCTGAGGAACTGCCTGCCAATTTGCTGGAGGTGGGGGTGGGTGGGTGGGAGGAGAGGGGGAACAAAGAGAGTTTGTTCCAGGGAGGAAGAGGGCTCATCCATCGACAACCAGCATTCCCAGCCAACCTACCTTGAAGTATAATGGCAAGCTTGAGACTCGGTGACTGGTAAATGTGAGCATTGGTTGCAAGGTTACTTTTTCATCACTGTTGTAACCTCGAATTATCGCTAAACATAGAGTTGAAGCTGAGGACTCTCCGTACTGTACCTGGATAAGCCCCATAGAATGGCAGCACTTAACTGATATGGAAAATTAAGCAAGGGTGGCCATAGTCAGCCCTTGGAGGACCATAGATGGAAATGTAAAGTATAGATATAGCAAATGGCAGCACCTCACCAGCTTATCGGGGCTTGGAAATTAAACAGGGAACATGAATGAAAAATTATCAGGAAATAGACTAGGTTGTAGGTGGTAGAGTAAAATGGGAATTTGAAAAACATGCTAAACAAAAGGCATGATATTCTATTTCCATATTGCTGTCAATAAAACTGGACAGACACGTCCATTAAGTCAGCAGAGGGTTGAACACAATTGAAGGGAGTCCTTACCTTACCTTATACCTTACTCTATATGCCTGCCTGCCTGCCTGCCTGCCTGCCTATCTATCTATCTATCTATCTATCTATCTATCTATCTATCTATCTA